AGGGAATGCTGAGAGCTCTGACTTCTGCTTTAGCTCAATTTGTCATCATTTCTACCTAGACCAAAAGAATTTTATTCCTAATTTAATATAGGCTTTTCAACATTTTTGCTCCTCAGACCCTGTATTGGATTGCTCCAGCATCTCACTCCTTTAGTGGTGAAGGACCTACTAATTTCCAGCCTAAATTTATTCATGGCCAGTTTATACCCATTTGTTCTTGTGTCAACATTGTCCTTTAGTTTAAATTGCTCCTTTGCCTTCCTAGTGTTTATCCTCCTGATGTATTTATAGACAGTAATCATATCTGCTATCAGCCTTCGTTTTACTAGACTAAACAAGCCAAGCTCTTCTAGGCTCTTCTCCGGTGAGGGGCTCTTCACTGCCGGCACCTGTTCGGATCTGGGTTGCTCAGCAGTGAATACAAGGGACCTGGGTTGTGCACAGCATCCCAATGAGCCCTTGATGCTTGGCACGAGGAATGAATGTTGCTGTATCTGCAGTGCTAATACTGCACACGGTGCGTTTGCTGGCAGCATTTGTGTCAGCAGCAGGGACCTGGTGGGATGTGGTGCCAGTCCTCCTTGCTCATGTCCAGTAAATCAACTTCCAGAAAAGTTTTGTTATTGGTCCCTTGCTGCAGTATCTTGTATTTTGTAGTATTAAATCACGTCTTGTTTCTGGTATTTAATCGTTAGTTTACCCTTCTTCCAAGCTGTTATTTCTTCCTGTACAAGGCACTGCGATCTTTTTAACCAAGCCCTGCATCAACTCCCCATTAACCAGTTTAACCAATTTCTTCAACGAATTCCCATCTTCTGGATTTTAGCTGACATATTTCTTTGTGGCACTGTATCAGATGATTGACAGAAGAGCAGACAGATTAGATCTGCCACAGTTCCCTTAATTATTATTTCCTTCATAATTTTTTTCCTTCAGAACTCCTTCTTAGTTTTTACGTCAGACTAAAAGCTCTGCATTTACCAAGATGAGGGTTTTTTCCTTGGCTTAAGTAGAAGCAGCATATTTACTTTCCTCTAGCTTGAAGATTCATTAGATTTATTAAAAATACTGGCCACTGGACCTCCCAGGGACTTTGCTGGGGCTGAGTTTTTAGTCTAGACCCCTTTGGGGCAGAGCTTCATTTCTTTAGTTCCACAGCATCATCATCAGAACAAACGTGAAGTAACACTTTCATTTCTCTGGGTTAGGACCATTTTATGTTATCTCTGTGTTGTAGTTTCTGCCCTGTGCTTTTTAAAATGTAATTTTTTTGTAAAGAAAGAGAATATGAGAATTATTCTGTATGACCAAAATGCCATCAAGAAAATGTCTCTCGTGCTTGGGGGCGTGGAGCTACCTCTTTTTTTTAATAGTCGTAACAATAATAATAATATTAGGACAACAAACTAAGATGCCCCTGGAGATGTTGCGACAAATTGGAAGGACATGTTGAAATTGAAATTGATTGAATAGTTCAATAAAATCAGCTTAATGCACAAAAGCAAAAAGGTTAGCTACAGGAAAACAAAAAAATCAGTAATTTGTTATCTGCTGGGGCCAATCCCACTGAAGATTGAATTAGTTATAAACTAAAACTAGGTACTTGAAAGCAGCACCCTTATATGCCCACACTGGAGCCTTTCAGATGGAAGTGGACGTGGACGGCAACCAAATGCCTAAAGGTTTGCCAAATCTCAGACTACTTCCATTTGGTGGAGCTGGCAGTGCTAGGTTTATGGTTGGACTGATGGTCTTAAAGGTCTTTTCCAACCTAAATGTTTCTATGATTCTGTTCTATGATTTGCATGTCTCTGTGTTTTATACAACTCTATGTACAAGCTGAGGCCATTCTCCATGCCAGACTGCGCTTTTGCTCTAAACGCAATAGTTAAGTCTTCAGCTGATGGAAATCAGTGCAACTTCGGTGATGTCTCTAAGTTCCCACCAGCAGCTCACCTCTCGCCTGTCCCGATTGCTGCAGCTGCCTCCGGTATCCTGAGAGACAGCGCCCGTCTCAAACGCGTGCGTTCCCATAACGATCCTACATGATCGCTCCATCCAGCTGAGATCTGCTGCAATTCTTCACGGTTTCTCACTAGGCTTGGACTCCCTGTGCTTGCAGCACTCCTTTGCCGTCCTTCCCCTCTTCCCGTCCTTATGCACCAGCTCTTTGTGACTGGTACATTTGTACATTACCAAATTCTGGGCATTTTCATTTTTGGCATTGTATTATACGATAGATATAATCTTTACTTTAAATTTCTTTAATTTAGTGTTCTGAATTTGTGGGGGTTTTGTATTAACTCTGTGCTATGATGGTCAGCGAAAGGCGCTTTGTTAAATAAAAAAACTTTATTGTAAACCAGAGATTAGTAAGACAGGGTCTGTGAGCGTGCTCACACACATGCGTGTGTCATCAGAGTATGTATAATTTAATAAGCTGTAAAATGGCGAAGTTTAACACCACTTTAAATGAGACTTTCTAGTCCCTTACCCCCTCTTGTACGAGAGGATTCATTTTTCAGGGAAGCTTTGGATAAGAAGTGAATAAAGCAAGCTAGAAAGGAGCTGAAGGCGGTGGGAGGTTTGCAGGCTGGGCCCCGGGATGAACAAGTGCTGTGCAGACAGAGTGTGACCTTACCCAAGGTCTGCGGTTTGTTCTCGGAGTTCAGACTCAAGTTTGCACAACGGCGTCACGCGTGTCAGAATTGCTTTTGACACCGAACCGGAGCTGCCTTTGCCGTGCCCTCGCTGGAGGCACGCTGCCGCGACAGTCCCGGCTTGCTCCGCTGGGCTCACCTGGGAGTGTGACCCGGGAGCCCGGCAGCCGCGAAGAGGTCGGGCTGCAAACACGGGGAAGCAGAAAAACGCCAAGTCAAGAAAGAAGCACCCCCGCCGATGGAGGCTGTTTCATCGCCCTCTCGGCTGACAGAAAGGAAGGAACTTTTTTTTTTTTCCTACTGCAGCCACTGCTGAAGCGCTGAAGCTTTGAGAGCAGCGTGCGACAGCTACGCCATCAAATCGGAGACGCTGTGAATTACGTGTCTCCATCTCGCCGCAGTGAGGAACATTAGAGGTGGCTTTGCCATTTAAATGCCCTATTGAAACGGAATCTCTCGTGTGGGCCTCCAACCTGTTTCTCTAATTTACGTGGAATCTGACTGCTGCTATTTTTTTAAGTATCTTCCCCCGCTTTTATGATTTAAACCTAATTTGGCTCACAAGTATTTGGCCTGTCAGGGAATAGTTCTGTCAGCCTCCCAAGATGTCTATAAGAGAGAATAAGGAGGGAGAAGCTAAATATGAAATAGAAATTACACTCGCTAATAAGGACATTTCAGCCTTACGACTACCCAGTGCTTTACAAATGGAGTAATGAACGGCAACTTTTTGTGTGAGGAAAAACAAGGGCTAACAATAGTTTCTCCCTCATGTTTTATTATACTAGGTACAACAACAGAGAATGAAAGTGCATTTCCATAATATATTCCAGCTGCAAGGTGCTAATGGATCCCTGTGTGTGATGTCTTGTCAATTTATCTGGTTAATATCTGTCAATTAAAAGTCCTGGAATCAAGATAAAGCTAAAATTCAGATCTCTGTTATTCTAGCAACTCAGAAGAACTAAAGAAATAAGCCAGTTACAGCACTTCAAGACTGTTTATACAGAGACCTAATTGACCTAATTCTTGCCCCTTGAAATTTCAAAGGGCGTTTGACACTTTACGCACGCCTGTAACATCGGCACATGAGCAGAGCAGCCCTCGAGTGCCGAAGCCAGGTCCCAAGAGCAGGAGCAATCCAGCATGCGGCAGGTCTCTCCTCCCAGTGAAGTCGCTCCGCTTGGCTTCACACAAAGCTTTTCCTGCGTAACATTGTGCCTCCATTTGGTTTTCAGACCCTTCGGACTCCAATGTGCCGTCGGAGCCACTTGGTCCTTGCGTCCCAGCTCGCGTCTGTCATTGCACCTTAAAGCTCAAGGAACAGGGAGTCGTGTTCAGCTTTGCCCTGAGTCACACGGATTTTGGCCGGATCCCTGCCTGGTTCTCGGCACATCACTTTGCCTGCATTTCCAGGAGAGGAGCTTTGCTTTCCTATCTGCCTGTAAAGTGCTCTGTGGACCCTGAGCACGACACACATAGACATCAATAGTAAATTCTGCAGATCCAAAAGAAAATGTATTGTTGAGGCCAGTTTTAAAGGTTAGAGGGCCTTTCTCAGTGCAGGCAGGTATTCCTGAGTAACAAGACATCCCAGGGAGATGTACACACACGCAAGATCAGATGCCTTCTCCTATTTTATTCAGGTTTATTTTCCAGTTACATTGACACACAGCACCTTTTAGAAGAACTTCAATGTGTGATTTTTATGGCTGGATCTCTAAGGCTTTTTCTTCGAGAGCCATGTTCTTTGGGGTGCTCAGGAATTTAAATCAGTTTCGCTGAACTTCTGTTTATTGCATTGAATATTTTTTTTTTCACACTGGGCTTAAATTCTCCTTGTTTACCAAGATTGCGTTAAGGATTGAAACACGGAGAGTATTTTAAGTATCAAAATGCTTTGTGGGCATCGAACTGTGTGAGCAGAACAAGCTGGAGGACTGCCAGGCAATGTTGCTGTCAGTTTTGGGGGTATAATGTTCTTAGTGATATTTTCAATGAAAACACATTAGCAAAATTTTTACTGGTTTTCAGACCACAGAAAATAACATTGCCAAAAATGCTTAAAAAATTAACAAAAATGTCTGTTTCAACCAAGGAATTTTGCCCGTAAGTTTTTTATTTTCCCATAAAACAGGTGATATCCACCAATCTATGCAAAAAAAATCCCTTCAAAAATGTGATAGAAAATTTTATCTGTCTTTTTTACTAACATTTTAAATCCCATTAACTTCTTAGCCTGCTTAAAGATTGCACTTGTATATGGAAAATAAACCAAGGCATTTTACAAGGTGCATTTTTGTTTCTCATCTTTTTCTTTTCTTTTCTTTTTTTTTCCAGAAAGTTCAGCAGTATATAGTCATTGTTCAAGCCACAGATATGGAAGGAAATCTTAACTATGGTCTCTCAAACACAGCAACAGCTATCATTACAGTGACAGATGTGAATGACAACCCGCCCGAATTCACTACCAGCACTGTAAGTATCAATACATCAGCACAGTGATGCATGGACACACAACGTGTTCGTAATTCATGGATGTTTATATCCGCCGTCTCTCGTAGTTGGTTTGGCAGATAGGAGGAACTTGATAGATAACTGTGGAACAAAGACTTTCAGGGGGAAAAAAGGAGGAAAAAAGAAAAAAGGAAAAGCAGAATGATTCATGAACTAGCAAAACTATTTGGTGACCAATTTCGCTGAGGTACTAAAGGAGCTGAAATAATGTGGCAAACAGACTATGTCTGATTGCACCAAAGAGGATACAGTTGTTTCACAGCAATTGGCTGTAGACATATCAGAGTTGTTATTACTTATGAGTGAAATCCTGAGCAGTAAGAGATATTTCGGATTTAGTAGCTCAGGTACGATTTCAAGGAAGCAGTAAATACTCTAAATGTTAACAGGTATCCGGTAAAATTTGTGTTTCACTGATAGCTCTAACAGATATATTTGTGTGTGCTGGCAGTAAATGCGTAGACATTCTTCAGTACATCTGGTTTTAGTCAGTTAAAGATCTTTCTTGTATTAGTACAGTATTTCTCTATTCTGTTCTCGTGTGCTCCAAGTTGATGTTACTGGGAGACAAGGGGAAAAAATCAAGAGTGCAAACCACAAATTTTTAGAGCTGGTTAAGGTAAAAATGAAGAGTTGGAAGGTGAAATGATGTGGTCTGGTTCTTTCCAGCCTTCATAATCCAGAGGTGCAGAACATCTAAAAAGTGCATAGTAATTTTAGAAACCACAGAGCAGTACAGAGGGCTACATGCTAATAAATGAGAAATCGTTGTGTATCCACCATCTATATTCATATGAGGATCAACAAGGAGCGGTAAATGATGTATCTTAAACTGATAGCAAATCTTTAAAAATACAGAAAGTCTAACGGCATAGTGCTCAAGTCACCGAACAGCCTTTGAGGAATGTTTTTATTATCTATATTAGTCTGAATTTTCATTCCATCTTAAAGGGTCTGCAAATATTCACTAATGTAGTACCCAAGTTTGCCCTTAGTTCTACGCTTACGAACTATAGCTATGTAGCAGAACTCAAGGAAGTCATGCAGAGCCCAATTTATGCCACCATGGACCCAGACCAGCTCCATGCCAGCTGTGGGGTCTGGGTCCTTCCCTCCCACCGCCGTCGGCACCCAGGCTCGTGGATGTGATGTGCTCAGCTCCAGAGCTGTGCCAGCGTTTTCTGACAAAGTGAGTTGGACCTAGACTCTCAGAAAAAGGCAGGCACTAAATTCCTTCTGGATCAGAGAAAAGTGGATACCCAACACGTTTTTGGAGCTGGACGTCCATGTGCGGCCTGCATTGCTGCTCCAGCGAGTACAGGGTGGGTTTAACAGCAGCACATGTGCTTCATACCTGTCATAGTGAATACACCGAGCTTTGTGTTGTAAAGTTGTCGTTAAATAGCTCCTTAAGTATGATACATACAGTTGAGAAGAGCCACAAAAATCTGATGCAAGTCTTGGGCCGTGTGGTCCTTTCCCCTGCCAGCGTGGATTGTTCTCTCTGGAAAATTTTGTAGCGGCCAGTCTCATAGAGTTTTGTGTCTCTGAGGCCGTGGGACTTTTCACCACACTTTTCACGTGTGCCCCAGCTTGCTAGCGTTTGCAGGGGGGACCTTATTCTGCCAGGTAAATACTTCTTTAACCTACATTTGAGTGAAAAAGGAATGACATCTAGTGGCCACGTCGTTTAAGCACAGGTTGCTCCAGATGACCCAGGTTGACTGGCCCTTGTCTCCAAATGCAAGTTAGGAGGTGAGGTTTCGGGTAGCGGGATGAGCTGTGTCAGGGTTAGTCACACATGCACATCAGTGCCTTCAGGAGGGCAGCATCCCTCCAGATGTGCTATATTTTAATGTCTTTCCAAAACACTTTCCAAAGCTGAATCTGATGGAAGGTGAGATAATGCAAATTTGCTTTCAGGTGAATTCTGAGTAGTTAATGTCTAGTTAATGTGTGTTAGACCTAGAAGGAATAAAAGCCTTCCAGAGAATTACCCATAGGATTGTGTTAAATGGATTAGAAAATGCTGCTCTTCCTCTAAGCAGGGTTGATGTGTAGCATTATTTCTCTAATTTCAATCACTGAAGAAAGAGTTTTGCAAGGGCCAAAGGGCTTTACACAGTAGCACATGGGACTTTATAAAGATTTGAAAACCAAAGGTGTTTTACAATAATATTTTCTGATTCTATGGAAACAAATATCTTTGATATACTCCTGGGTATAGTCAGGATGAATTTCACTTGAGTGTGAGAGTATAATATGTTTTTTCTCTGACTGACGGAGAGAACAGCATCAGGCTGATCAGTCTATTTAAACCTGAGCTGAATCTCCTTGCTGTCCTCAGATATTCTGATCTGCTTTTTAACACCTCTAAAAAATAGCAAAAATCTCTTTCCAGGAAATCTACAGCTCCTCAGAGGGTAAGAAAGCCCATGGTCTCTTTTAAGACTGGGGACTGTTTGGAGAGATACAGTATATTTTTATTTTAAATACTTCTGTATTGAGATGCTGTTGTAAAAACAGAATAGGCTGGATAACCGAAATTGTGGTTTGCTCTTGGAAAGCTGCCAGACAAAAGGAACACAAGCAACTGTATTCAGCATAGACATATACAAAGAAAGGCCCACCCTATAGCGCTCCTAAATTACCTGTCATTCAGCCAGGGTGGTTTTAGACTTAATCGTTTCTGGATAAGAATGTAGCTCAGGAGGA